ACCAAAGGCAAAATTAAACTTTTTACTATATGGACTCAAATATATGAATGGAACAGACTGCAGAGGTGTTGGACTAGTTGAAACGGGCGATCCGCAAAGTTGGAAACTACGTGACGCGTCTTTAGATGGTGGAGCAGTCTCTTAGGTGGTTAACCGTAACCAGCGTAGTATTAATGCACTAAATAAATGATCGCGAGTGCTTAGCGGTGGGTTTTCACCTGACAAGGGATCCATCTGTCACAGGAAGTTATAAAGGTCCTTAGAAAGCATTGCAACCTGATGCGAGTGTCATCCACCATTACATCAGATCATCGTTATCATTGGAAGGTTTAAAGTCAAGACAAGCATCCTGAAAAGATGATATTACGAGATGTCATTACAAGCGCATTTCCAAGATTTTGCAACAAATAGTGGGTCGACTTATCCCAGCTTTAAGACAAATTCGGGTAAATGCAAGCATGACATGCAAGTATGATATGCGGAAAATTATCAACGTTGTGAAAAGAAGACCACCGATATCCTCAATTGAAGAAATGCTGTGAACGGTGTAGCATGATGAGAACATCCACTGGGAGTCTGATTTAGTCACTCAATAAGTTAACTGACTTTTCTTGCTAAAAATGATAGAAATATTTCAATCCATCCTAATACAGATGACTTATCTCTAGCGCAATACTTCCAACTACGTAAAACCACCTAATCGTACATAGTCCACTTTTCTGTATACAAAGTGAAAATCACTCAGTCAATAGAATAAGGGATATATGACTCCGCCCTTAGCCACGTGTAAAGGAGTGCGATAAATTACTGCCCCCGTGTGACAGTTATTTTCTGGTACGGAAGAAACGATCTCGCGAAGTGGACACAAAGCCAGATGAATGTATATCCACATTCGCATAAGTACGTATATATAAATAGTATATTTATGACTGAACAAATTGTCCTGGGCAGTTTTTGCACATTGCTCAGCCGCCTTGAAGGTCAGGCTTCGGTCGGGCTTTGACCATGACTCTCCGCAAGAACATCTACTGGTTTTGACCTGGAGAACCTGACAGTATTGTTCCTACCAGCAAATTATGGACTGATTCCCTTGTTTGATAGAGACTGCTTAACTGATTTCTTTGACACACTACTGATTGAGAAAAGTGTGAAGTATAAATACATATATTCAATGCCAAAATAGGATTTAAACGGATGGCAACACTATATGTCAAACATCATTCTTGTGCAGTGGTGTATAACGAGAATACGGAAAACCGCTCAGGCTGCGGGTGTGAACAAATGAGGAAAAATAAATAACATGAAAGTGACACGTTTTTCGCACCAAACCAAAGCAGTTTAAGAGATTGGATCAGACAACTTTGCAACACAGTAGTAGGCAAATGGCACCCGCCTCAGCCATAACTAGTTTCCAAGCTTGAGTGAGACACGGTACACGTTGTTGAACGAAGGCCTTCACAATATCGATCTTCTGCCCAGTGTTCATGAACCGACCCACGATTGCGCTTCCCCACCTAACTATCACAGGTGATGTTTCTTGGCGCCCCATAAAAACCTCTGGACAAGTTAAGTGACATGGAGGAAGGTAGTACAGACAGCTTGTCGTTCATTTGCATTCGGCTTAAGTTTACCGATCGGAATATTTAACACATTCTTGAAAACGAATGATTCGTCTGTGTCCCAAAATAATAATAATAATAATAAATAATAATAATAATAATTCATAATAAGTCCTCTCAAGGAGGAATTATACACAGAAAGACCAGCACGACCGCTGAAAGGGGTCGTCTGTTATTTCCCGCGGATAAAACCTAGATCGCTTGTCAACATATCACTAGTGATCTGACTGTGAGTGAAAGGTAAGCCCCTCAACAATGACCTCCTGCATGTGAATTCGGGTCAGCGACGCATTTTATATAGATCATAAAGTAAGACGTTTGACTCAACACATACATGACGGCTTATCCAGAGGGTCATCTGATAGGCTCAACCAAAGGACCGAACTGGTCAAAGCGCCCGATGTGACTTTTCGAAGTCTCCAACGGTGAGAGCTCAATACGCTATCTGATCCAGATGAACAACGCCCAGTTTTACCGAAGCGCTTATTAATGGGAACAGGAAGCCTGGTAGAAATAAACGAATTGCCTTCATGTAACTGAAAGATGATCCAATATGCCTCTGATGTAGGTGTAAAGATGTTTTAGAACACGTCTAACATGTTGTGAATGTAATTTCTACTGGGTCCTTCGGTGGCCTATCAATCAAAGTTACACATTGGTGGCTCAGGTGACTAGGGATTTCAGACTGACCATTGTGCATCACACGCCAAAAGTCAATTTCGCAGAGAAGGGATCGAGAAGTGCATAGAAAATTCGGGTATCGCATTAGAGAATTGAGTAACCTAAGATTGCGCTTAACTCTGTATTCGTCCGAGCAGTTAGCTTGATTCCAAAGGACAGTAATCACGTCAACCACTAGTGTCATTACTCAGCACATTTAAATTTCACGGTTTTCTATAACCGGTATGACAGTGTATTCGCACAGGACTAATACGCCCTCAAGACGAGCACTTACCAAGTTTGCAAACGCTTTGACTTTCTGGATTGCCTTGGATTAAAAAAATACCTTGAGTTGTTGGTATAATTCTAGCCCTAACTACAGCTTGCCCACAGAAACCAAAATTCAATGTGAACTATACTCTCTATCATCTTTTCTCGACTCTGTCGTCCGAGTTTAGCGAATCACACGAATCCAAGGTAACTCAACATCATGAGCAGCTTGATCAAACAGTATTGGTTTGGACGCTACACGTTACACATGTTTCCTAACTTAGTGGTGATGAATAGGAGCTATCAATGCGTGCGGGGTGTCTCAAACAGATACGAAACCTACGAACAGCGAATGCGATGCACTCCCTCTTTGTGCTACAGACCAGCCGTTAGGTAATAAGACTGTTTTTATCAAAAACTGCCTATTTTTCGAGTATTTTCAATTAGGGGCAACTCGAATCAATACTAATCTCGCGGAGATTAATCAAGAATATTGCGTCATACGGAAATATTCACTCTCTCCGTCCGATCCGTGACCTATGACCGATTGAAATTTGTTAACAGTGTACTTGACTGACACAATCTTTTTCTTTCATTAATCGATGCTATTTTGAGTCACATATAAGCATCAGAGTAAAACTTGTAAATTGACTTGCTTCCTGTATGCCAAGTACACGGTCGCTGTGCGCTATATGTGTTCCTGCTACGTAGCTGGGAGAAGGCTACTGGTGCTCGTGGCGTCCAATCTGTGCTGTGATCGTACTCGTGGGGCTAGACGATTAGTGTGACCGTTGAGGTACGTGTGTTCCTTGTGTCGTCGTGTGATATCTTGTTGTATGTACATTGTGATCAATCGGGATTCGGACACAACACCAGTCACCGTGATTTATAGTTTTTCGCTACTTCTGTGTTTACCTTTGACTGCTATGCGGGAAGTTGCATAACACACATCGAACACCCACGCAATGCTGAATACATTTGATTGCCGATCGAAAAAGTGCGATCAATATGCGGAGATTTAGACAAACGGAGCCCAACATGTTCAAACATTGGATACGGTGGTTATCAAAAGACAATAAAGTTGAAAGTCTTCAGGATGGTTTTGTGGTGAAATAAGCAGCTGGTAATCTGTTACTTACCGAATGTTACGGCCAACGCCGCGGCATCTAGCCAACCATAATTAGAAATCACCTATGTTCGGTCTTGAAGACCACATGCATCCTGGATGCGACGGTGAATGCGAACCAGTTCCGGAAATACTTGGGAAGTGTTTTCTATATGATGAAGGAACCAGTCATCACTCACCTGCAGTGCATACACAGAATCCAATGCGAGAGGAAGGAGTCTTACTCAACGGGTGCAGATTCCCCGCTCGGTCGTAGCAGAGTCCTGTTAAGAAATCGCGCACCAAGGAGATCACTTCTGACGAAAACGAAGAGAGAGCGCGATGCATCCTGTAGAGTCGACTCACACCAAAACTCCCTACAGCCAATACAAATAAGCTGATTGCATTGGATTGATAATCCCTCGAGGGAGGGGCTGAAATCTCAGAGGATTAAGTGGGCACGCACCGATAGTGATTCCCAATAAGAGTTAAACATATGCACAACACTTTCAACGCCTTCCAGAGATCAGTGACACGTTGACTGTGCATAAGGAATAGACCTTTGCAAACGAAAACAACAACAAATTTCGACAGAACTTATAAATTCAGTCAACGAACATTGGAGACTGGTACATACTAAATCTGAACACCTCCAATGGACAACATAAAACGGGGTTGATTTCTGTATGTGTATACGAAAACGAGTCATACATACCCCAACTCTTCCTCTCTTGTGGTCACGATCAAGTCTGGTTTCAAAAAATGTATACAGGAATGAGACAAATAAACCGAGTAGCACAAGACAATTGCCACATTATGCCTCAAAACCCAGAAAACGAATGAACAGAGACAGAAATCGACATACCCTTCGGATTAATAGCATCGAAAAAACAAAGCTATAAGTAATACTTGAATTAGTAAGGAAAATATCAATAATCCTGATCTCCAAAGGTGTGTTGACAACCCCGAATGGACGAAATGACAAAGTCACCTATTGGAAAATATGGTTCTCTTCTCGGTTTGGGCCATAACCAACAAAAAACTATTGATGTAAAGGAAATTAAAAACACTAGGAATATGGGAGTCACAGCAAGTACCCACGGTTAAAAAGGAATAAATAAGAGGGAGGGGGAAGAGGAAATATAAACAGACAGATTCAGAGTAGGAAATCACGTATGTTAGTCAGCCAATCCTGTTCGAAACGGGACTCGGAAAATTTTCCTTGAACCCATTTGCGCGCATTGGTGCGTATTTCATCCAATTGGGTCGGAGACATGCGCAGTAACACGTGCTCAAAGATACCCGCATATTCCTCAGCGGTGCGAGCTAGAAAACCGACACCGGGCGATTCCCCTGGTTGTTGGTCATCACAGACGCTACGAGCCGGTCCGATTATGTCCAACTGTGGGCCACCCGAGTCGTGAGCCACAGTGATCAGTCCAGCTGCCATGCCTTCTACGATGCCTGGTGAAGAAAAAGCATGTTAACAGGACAGATGAAATTTTCCGAATCACCGAGGGAGTGAATACAAAAGGATTCATGCTGCAGATCAAATGAGTTCAATTCAGTG